GTTGTACATTTGCTGTTATATTAAAGTTTTTCTTCACTTACCCATTCAAGCCGTCTCCAGCCATTATTCCTTCTGAAATGTTTACTAGTAATTTGTTACTTTATTACTGTTCATTTTGAGACGTTTACTTGTCTGTGTTCAGTCTATTTTAACAGTCATAAATCCTTATTTTTGAAGCTATTTAACTTATCTGCGTACCTGAATATCACACTCCCTCAAGTGTTGAAAATGGCACACACTTTCAGGTTACTACTTAAAAGATTTCTTGTATTCTTTTTATAAATATAAATTTAGGAAAGAAGCTTATCATGACAAAGTTTATGTAAAAATGCACACAACAAGAAACAACATTTAATTCATAGGCTCTGGGGTAACTGCATGTCTCATGAGAGAAACTAATACCAAAAACTACTTAAATAGTAATTTCTTAAAACAAGACAAATATTTTTACATTTCAATACATTATTCAATTAAAATCATATATATACTTGTTTCTTTTGAACTGCTCATTTGCTTCAAACAGACAGACTACATCTCCTACTTCACACTCATCAACTCCTGGAACTTCCTGAAACTTCCGATGATAATAATAATGTTTCTTTTGATTTGGTGTCACAATCGTTTCTACAAAAAAAATGCATGATAGTATTATACAATTTTAACATTAATTTCTGATCAAAGCAATCTACATAATTAGATCACAAATGAAAATCAACTCAGTAAAGAATATATAGTTAATGTAATATACTAATCTTACTTTATAATGATTAGAATGAATAGGTTCATCAGTTGTGTACCCTAACTGTAAACAATATTTTAACCCAATAATATTAAACAAGGTTTAGCCAACTTATGAGATTTAGGCTAGACCTAAATCCATATATATTAACTTAGGCTAGACCTAAATCCATACATATTAACTTAGGCTAGTCCTAAATCCATATATATTATCTTAGGCTAGTCCTAAATCCATATATATTATCTTAGGCTAGACTTAAATCCATATATA